TCTCAGGAGTAACTAGTCCAGTTGCTAGGGGGGGGGGCCGTAACACGTCGTTTGGCTGCCATAGGGCAGTGCTCCGTTACAGGTCCTTACAGCTGCTAACAGTCCCTAGAAGCAGACAACTGTTAACAGTGTGGGCTCCAGGTATATGTCAGTCACAGGGCCAAACAGGACAAGATAGCCTCTAACCCAGTGTCTAACTGGCTGTTATGCCACGTTGACAACTATCGTCAGCAGCTGATAATGAGCCCATCTGACAGCCCCGCCTAAGAAGTTAGATGCTGTTAGACCCCCTATGAGTTGGTAGGGTTTTAGGGTGATCACGAGCCAGGATAGGTGTGTCAAGACCTCAAGCGGGGCTTACATGTAAGCCCGCTGTACAGGGGGGACCATTGGGGGTCAGCCTATGGGTCCACGGTAATCATAATTCACTCATGGCTCTCAATGGCAAACATGTAGGCCCGTGAGCTTAGCCATTTCCCTTATGCAAACCAACGAACAGGCCGTAATCCTGCGACTGCTCACCTCTCTTTCACTCTATAAAGCGGCTCTTTCCTGAATTGTGTACTCTTAGACTGCTCTTACATGGTATAGTGCTACTGTACCAGTTTCATCCACCATCACCCTGTCACCATGTCAGTGACAGCACAGAGAGTTGGATAACGGATTGGGATGCAAATGCAGTAGATAACAGGTGCCTTCTAAATTTTTTTGTTATTTCCCTGTATCCTACCAACAGGGCACGAGACTAGTCCTCTGTCATCTTCACCCGAGGGTAAGCAGTGGGAGGGCCGCAAGCTCTTCCGGATCTCTTTCTCAAATCCAGCCAGTCTAGGAGTGTGCTGTGATGTACAAGAATTGCGGGGAACTCTTTGTGGGAGGATGATGAAAGGAACAGGATGGCAGGAGTTGAACCTGCTTGCTCCAGGCAGAGCACTGGATAGGATTCATCCCTGTGGATATATTAATTGGTACCAATTGGTACCAATCTCAGCAGCCCTGGTTTGCCCCGCACCAACAGCACGCCTCCCGGGTTCCCATGACCAGCAGTCTGAAAGCCATCCATCTGCTATGCCTTGCATCCAGCCAGGGTGCAGCCCTGGCCATCTGCTCGGCTCGGCCGAGCATTTCCAGGACCGTCAGCCCAGCGCCTATGATCTATCTGCAATGGATCGATCCTAGACAATCCGTTTTGGGGCTCCTGGAGGCCCATAAAGCGAGGCCGGGGCATCATGTGCGCCCTTAAAGTCGACCACGCAATGTCTTCCATGTGCTATATTCCACAACAGTCCTATGCGTTTCGGTGCTTTTGGACTGGTACAAAGCGAGAAGTCCTGTCATCATCATCGGCCAGGTCGGAGTCGGAGGTGCCCGCGCATGAAGCTCTTTGCTAAACTAGTTAAAGCAATAACGTTTCTTTAGCTATGCAGTCTCTGTAGCACGTTCATTTGGCATTATGTAAATGTGTGACCTCTGTCCGGCAGTCGCAGTTTCCATCTACCGAAGTATGCCCACTTTGCGCAAAATTTAAGATAAAAAGAAAAGTAATTTTTTTTCAATTGGTGCTCCTGACCTCGCCGTAGTTCGTTAGCCAACTTCCACTCCGGGGCATAGGCACTCCAGGAGGGGGAGGGATACTTTTGACACACTCAGCGGGCATATCTGTGCCTATTTATCACACTTTCAAGGTTGCACATTTACCAAGCTTCTGGCTGGCGAGTAACCTGTCCAGACAACTGCCTCGTAGCTACTGAGCCTGACGAGTTACAGGTCTCCGGACTGCCATAGGGTTGATTGTGAGAATGTCTCTTGGTAGCATCTAGACTCCCAAAGCATGTGCTGCCCTTGATTCTATGTATCCTTCTTAGATCTAAAAGAACAAATTCACGGTTGCCCTACTTTAGAAGTTAACGTGAATATCAATCAGCTGTGCCAAAATGCCTCCATATGGCTCAACCCGCAATTTGACAAAACCGTTTATAGAACAACGAGATAAGGCACGCAGGCTTCAGGGTATTGGAACGGTTGCGCAGAGCGACAAGTGAGTCGCAATACGCTGATAGAGAGTGAGGTGCAGCTGCTAGGAACAATGCAACCAGTCATCCTAACTATGGTTGACCTTACGGGACCTATTACCAGCTCGTCTGTGGCACCAAGTTGGGTTCAGCAGTCCAATGGGATTCAGCAAAAGCTGAAGGTCTTAAAGAAGCTTATTGCCGAGCTGAAAAAGTAAGTCCATACCTGGCAAAACTACACACTCGCGCAAATATGTAGCCAGGCTTGAATGAACCTCATGGCCCCTGCCTCAGGTACCATGATGAAGCCCTTCTTGTCACATTCAACAGGAATAGTGGTGCACAGGATGCTGAGATGCTTACCCTGGAGGTCCAGCAGAGGTTTAAGCAGCTACATGCAGAGATCCGCACAACTGGGCCCAACAATGATGCAGAGATTCAGAAACGAGTGCAGCAGCAGCTGGCGCAGGTATGCCAGAGTGCGGCCCAGGTATCCCATATGGGATTCCACGGATAACATGCCCGCCTATGCAGCACCATGCTGGTGGTGGGAGCAGCATGTGGAGTCACATGCTGGGTTAATCTAGATGGGGGGCTTCAGAATCTCATTTGCATGCTGCTTGGAATGAAGCTGTGCATGCCGCACTGATACTTTTGTCCTGCAGGCCCTGTTTAAGCTGTCTTTGGAGTTCAGGCGTGAAGAGATGCGCTTTCTGAACAAGGTTGAGGAGCAGATGGGCATGGAGAGGGGTTCATCCATCGGCTTGATAGAGGAGGAAGAGGGAACATGGTGAGGCAGGGGGTCACGGCAGGGAACATGGTCCAGCAGTGAGGAGGGCTAATGGGGTCAAAGATACAATACAGAGGGCTGGCTACGGTGGCAGCATCACACAGCTGTCACAGCCTCCTGGTATTGTAGTCCAGAAGCATGTCATGGGAGGAAATTCGGACACACAAGTGTTGTGCCGAAGTTTGGAGGGATGCCTCGTGTGACTGTGATGGGACTACCATGGGACACGTAAAGAGAGGGCCATGGCCTGGGCCATGGCATGCCCTGTATATGGTTGGTGACACCCAGGGAGACTGTGTACATTTGGTTGTTGTTTCCCCATTCCAGAACATTAATATAAGCGGAAGGCATTAGCTGGGTGTTTCTATGTTGCACCTGGAAGTTGCAAATGTGATGCAGTGTGGGAGTTTCACTGGTGGCTGTTTATGGCCAGTGAGCTTAACATCCTGTGCACAACATTTGGCAGCACACTTGCGCACACCTGCAGTGCTCCTGCTGCCTGTTGTATCCACTTCCACTGTTTAGGTGGTAGTGAAAACTACCGATTAGTGAATGGAGGGAGGCTAAATGCCTCTGCGTTTGGATGACCCGTACAGAAGTCTGTACGGTCCGAGGATATAGTCGTCAACACGAATTATCACCAATCGGTGCAATCATAACCCAAGTGGGTCTACCAGTGACAAGTGTCACGATTATAGCAAGAGCGCTATAACCCAGTATCATGCGTGATAAAGACAGGCAAGTGCCCGATTAGAGATGGGCCAGCACCCAATTAGAGATAGGCCAGTGCCCAATGGTTAACCAAGTAAGAGCGAAGATATTGCCCAGCGGCAAGGTGCCAGAGAATTGGGGAAAGGTCCGAGGGTTAATATGCAAGTGTGCCACAACAACTATCCCCCCTCTGGATGCAGCATCCTCGCAGTGTTAGTGGCACGAGCCTTAACTGCTTGAAGTTCGGGGTGAAGATCGGGTGTTAAGGTTTTCTCTGGCTCCCAGCTATTATGTTCATTGGAATACCCGGTCCATTTGACATGGTACTCGTGCACCAGCCCCTTACGGTGTCTTCCTAGGCAGCGGGCACGATAATCAAGTATGCGCTCGACCGAGTAAAGTGGATCGCTCTTCAGCCACTGAACCGGCGGTGGTCCTGCAGGACTAGAAAGTGCAGAAGAACTGTCGTGAACAGTTGAAGAATCCAACGCATCCGCTGGCGCCTTGTAAGGCCGCAACAACATTACGTGGAAGGTGGGGTGGATGTGCATATCAGACAGTAGGACAAGCTCGGCCGCTGCTTTGCCAAATATGCGCTTCACAGGGTAAGGACCCACCCACCGCGGCAATAATTTACGAGGTCCGACGGCTAACTGCCGCAGTTTTTCGTACTTAAAAGCACTAAGTCGCCTTCCTTGAAGGTAACTTTGGCTCTGCCGCGGTTGTAATAATTAGTCGTACGGTCTGTGGCTTTTTCCAGACACTGCTTCACTTCTGCAATACAAGCAACGTACGACTTAATAAAGGATTTGGCTGCCGGGACCGGAACATTAAGTTCACATGAGACGGGAGTAGCTGGGTGGAACCCATAATTTAAGAAGAAAGGAGATTGTCCTGTAGAGCGATTGACAGCGTTGTTCATCGCGAATTCTGCAGCCGAAAGATAGGTGTCCCAAACATGAGGGTTGTTGCCAGCATAGGTTCGCAGCATTTCACCCAAAGTGTGATTCATTCACTCAGTCTGACCGTCAGTTTGTGGATGATAGGCAGTAGAAAGGCTTACTCGGAAATTAGCTTAAGTGCCAAGGGCCCCCCAGAACTTGGCACCAAACTGAGGTCCTCTATCAGAAATAATCTGTTTGGGAACACCATGCAGACGCAGCACGTTATCAAAGAACAGTCGAGCGGTTTGCTCCACGGTAACTGTCGTGGTGGTCGGTACCAAATGTACCATCTTGGTCAAGCGTCAACCATGATGAGGACAGCATCATATCCCCCCTCGGACAGAGGAAGTGCGACGACATAGTCAAGCGACACACTCTCCCAAGCGAGTCTGGAATCGGCAAGGGCTGAAGCAGGCCAGATTGCTTACCAGATTTCGGCTTCTGCCGTTGGCAAACATCACACTGCTCAACGTTGAACCAAGGGTCGGTTTTGTATCCGTCCACGATTCATTTGGCAAAAGCAGAAATCGTCAAATCGGCAGCCACAGACTGACGTCGAGTCACAACCGACAGGACGACAGAGTGCAAGGAAGGGTGGCGACTCAAAGCATCAGCAATGTTAACGGAACCGGACACATGTTCCCAAGTGAAGTTAAAACGCAGCATATATTCTAACCACCACGCCTGGCGGCGGTTAAGAGTCGGAACACCTTGCAGAAAGGTTAGAGGCTTGTGGTCAGTTTTGACAACAAACGGGCGTCCCTCAAGATAGCAGCGCCATTCACGCAAGGCGTGAACAACGGCTAGTAGCTCTTGTTCACCAGTAGTGTAGCCGTGTTCGGCAGCAGAAAACGTCTTGCTGGAAAACGCGACAGGATGACCGTTCTGAAGCAAAACTGCCCCTGTACCGTGCAGTGAGGCGTCGGAAATAATTTCAACACGGAAAGGCTGAGAGTAGTCGGGAAAACGCAGCACTATATCGTTCGCAACAGCACGTTTAATAGCCTCAAAAGATGCCTGACATTCAGCAGTCCAAACATCAGCGGAAGAAAACGCACCCTTGTGTGTAAGGCTCGTCAACTGCACGGCGAGAGACGAGTAATTGGCTATGAACTTGTGAAAGTAATTGGTAAGCCCTAGGAACTTTCGCAGCTCAAGCAATGACGTCGGGACAGGCCAGTCATGCACCGCAGCAGTCTTCTTAGGGTCCATGCGAACCCCCTCAACGGAAACCACATGACCCAGATACTCAACTTCGGACTTCACCCAGTGGCACTTGGACTGCTTGGTGTAAAGTTGTTCCCGCCACAAAACGTCGAGCACCAAACGAAGATGTTGGAGGTGCTCTTCCTTCGTTCTTGAATAGATGAGGATATCGTCCAGGTAGCACACGACAAACTTATCGATGTATGGCCTGAACATATGGTCAATCACGGCTTGAAAAGTAGCAGGAGTGTTAACAAGGCTGAAGCTCAAAACCGTGTACTCAAAGTGACCGAAAGGAGTGCGAAAAGCGGTTTTAGGAATATCAGACTCAGCAATGTGAATCTGATTATATCCCTGCTGCAGATCTATGAAGCTAAAGTAAGCAGACCCGTGAAGCTTATCAAGCAAATCGTCTACACACGGAAGAGGGTACCAATTCTTAGTGGTCATGGAATTCAACCCACGGTAATCTATGCACATGTGTAGGGAACCATCCTTCTTACCCACAAACAAGATCGGGGCAGAGAAGGGAGACATACTCGGACGAATCATGCCTTTAGCAAGCAGCTCAGTAACCTGCCGTTTGACCTCATCAAGCTCAAGAGGGCTAAGTTGGTACATAGGGCATGTGACGGGTTGGGTGTCAGGCACCAATGGAATTGTGTGATCCACCGGACAAACTGGAGGAATACCCGGGATCTCCCGGAAAACATCAGTGTATTCCTCAAGCAGTGCAGAAACTTCAGGGTCCTGAGTGGGAGGAATCACAGAAGTGGCGTTAAGGCTAACCGAAGAATGAACCAGCAAAGCATGTGCCCCCTTGTGAATAAGATGCATAGCAGCCTTACGACCAATAGACTCAGGGGTGGCGTGTGCACACATGGCTGCAGCCGCAAAATTAACAAGGGGCGCCGACGAGGCAGCACCACTGTCACCTGAATCATTAGAAGACGAGCGCCAAGGAATTGAGTACCGAACAGTACCCTTTGACGAACGCAAAATATTGTTCTAATAATCCAGGGATGCAGAGTGCTTACTCAAAGTATCAGATCCCAGAATAAAAGGAGCAGCATCAGTCAAGGATGGCAAAACGTATGGTGAGACGGTTAGGTACAGAGACCCGACTGCCACACGAAACGACACCTGACCCACGATATCTTGCCTACCTCCATCAGCGAGCGAAACATGGGACCAGTCTGATGAGTGGACCGGGAGGTGTAGCCGTTGGACAAGGGACTCACTAATAAAGTCGTGAGGCAGAGTTTGAGAGTGCCATTGGACGCCGTTTTTCTTTTGACACTGTTGCTGTCAAACCGGGTTTTGACTCGGAATGTAACATAACGGTTCCTCGTGGTCGCTCTCTCTGCTCGGTCGACGTTGGTGGTCATACTGTGCTTTTTGTCCCTGCATCCCTCACTCAATTGCGCGTTTCGCTTCGGCACTACCTCGCATGCAAGCACCACCGTCCTGATACCGCGGCCAGCATTTTGCTACCTTTGCATGTCGCCCGGCGGGCTTCAATGCTGCTAGCAGGTATGCGCCGAGTACTTATGTTTCCTGCAAAGTCCGTCCTTTTCAATGGCCTTTCACTTGAGGGTAAAACAGTAGAGCTTCCTGGTATTCCGTATCCTGCTGAGTTGTGGTACGATGGACCTTCACCTTGTCTCTCTGTTGCCCGGGAGCCCTTTGCTTCCTCTCTTTGCACAGTTGCCTCCGGTTCTGTGGTTGCTTTGCCTCTGGTGTCTCTGCAGACTGGTGGCCAAACGTTTTCGGCATTGGTGGCATTGGTGGAATGTAGAGGGTCTAACCGTGCGGACCAAAGAATGAATCCCCGCAAAAGGAAACTCAGGTAATATCCCTCAATACCGCCCTGAGCAAATTCCTAGCACAGCCCAGCTTCACGCAACCTTTTAAGAGCAGGACAGTCATCGTAGAGGTGGTCAGGACTAACCACCTCACAACAGAAACAGATGGTCTTACCGCTCACATGTCGCCGGAGATTGCCCACCTCTCCGTGCGTCAGCTTGTGACCGAACTGGTTGACCCACTTGGTCAACTTGCAAGCCTTCACCAACGGAGTGGCGGACTCTCCACCGGTGGGAGCACTGGGACGGTCAGTACCCCTATCCCCACGCCCGCCACATGAACCCGTTCTACCCCCCTGACTATTACACTTAGGACCGCTTCCGTGTCCCGTCTGCCTAGGGGGCCCAGCAACAGCTGCAGTGAGACGAGGACCGGGGTCCACATGCGCCCACTTGACTGGAGGCTCATCTTTGTCATAATCCTGCAAAACCAAACAGAATTCGAACGAAGAGCAGAACGAACTTTTCGTTCAGACAGGGCGCGCACTTCCTGGCCCAAGGCATGCTGTACCAGGGTATTGTAAGAGGCAAACGGCTTGCCATAGACGTCTGTGGTGCAGTGGGGCTGCAGGGAAGAAGAAAGGCCTTCGAAAAACCAAAACATACACTCACTAGGAGTGATCGTGGGTATGCCTTGGAAAACGGCCTCAAGATGCAAAAGGTAAGCTGGTACACTTTCGCCAGCACACATCGCAAAAGATTTGTCAGAAAGCCTACATCGTGCTTCTTATTCAACAGAGATAACCTGAGGAGCAAAACGCGTGCTCAGGTTATCCAGAACAAGCTGAGCAGTAAGCTCGCGCTGTGATAGAGACCACTCATCATACCACGTTTTTGCAACACCACGGAGTGCTTGCAACAAAAACAGGCAGCATGACCGATGGTCCCTACCCCAGGGCACGATTTCGAAAAACAAAGACGTGTCACAAATAAACACCTTTACGTGGGCAGCAGTCTGCTTCGCATCAAGCTTGGTATCTAGCTGCAAAACAGGAGTCGGTAAACTAACCCGAGGGAGGTCGGCAGAAGAAATTGGCCGAACCGCAGGCAAAGGCTCTGGCTCGGCTGCGACTACTGCAGCATCAGCAGCAGCAGCTGCTTCCACCGCTAATGCACACGCAGCCACAGCACGGTGGTCCACATCTGTCGTCAGGGTTTCTGGTGTCACCGTTGGAACATCCTGACGATTTATGGGAGTGTTAAGCGGGTGGTGCAGAGCAAAAGGGGCCAAAGAAGGCAAGGGGTGGAGATGTTCATCACCAGTAGGACCAAGTGGCCTCAACCGAACATTCTTGGCAGCCCCAGTGGGCACCTGCAACAAAGGTGCTGCGGCAAAAGTTGAGAATGGCGTTCACGCATCAGGCTCGCGAACGGAAACAGGCACCTCAGTAGGGCCGACCGGACCTCTAGACATACTAGGTGCACCAGGATCGGAAACAAGTCCCGCAACAGTGTAGGCAGGCAAAGTGGAACAAGCATCAGGTGTGCCCGACGCCATGTCTACACCATTACGGTCGCCGCCCAAATTAAACGGGGCGGGGCTAAACATTTTAGCTAAATGAGAGGGGCCTACCCTTATACAGCAATGATGCAGTCACTGCCACGGATAGGGAAAGAGCTTGAAGTAGCGGCTCTACCTCAATCGGGTCCAGCACACCCGTTCTAACCTCTGCAACAACAATGAGCGAGGCAACAAAGGACAAAACAATACAGATGATTACGATCTTTCACTTACCCTGAAGAGCTGCCGTGAGCGCTCCAACACTGTAAGCCTATGACCTTTACTAACAATCGAGATTGGTGCAGAAGAGCTGGTCGAGACCGAACATCTCGATACCACTTGTTGTATCCACTTCCACTGTTTAGGTGGTAGTGAAAACTACCGATTAGTGAATGGAGGGAGGCTAAATGCCTCTGCATTAGGACGACCCGTACAGAAGTCTGTATGGTCCGAGGATATAGTCGTCAACATGAATTATCACCAATCAGTGCAATCATAACCCAAGTGGGTCTACCAGTGACAAGTGTCACGATTATAGCAAGAGCGCTATAACCCAGTATCACGCGTGATAAAGACAGGCAAGTGCCCGATTAGAGATGGGCCAGCACCCAATTAGAGATAGGCCAGTGCCCAATGGTTAACCAAGTAAGAGTGAAGATATTGCCCAGCGGCAAGGTGCCAGAGAATTGGGGAAAGGTCCGAGGGTTAATATGCAAGTGTGCCACAACACTGCCCCTCATGTCCGGCTGATATCATCAATGTATCCTATTTGCTGTCCACATACATGCACACTCTCTACATGTGCAGGACTGGTGGTGAGTTGATGGACCCGGGCTTCACACAGGCCCAGATGGCCATGGTTGACATCTCAACATATTTGGTAAATGAGCAGGATATGGAGATCCGCAAGATCTTGAAGACCATTGAGGAGGTTGTGCAGATCATGAATGATCTGGACGTGCTGGTGATCAAGCAGGGAACCATGCTGGACCGCATCGACCAAAACATCACGCAGACAGCCATCAGGGTACGTGGATGGGGTGATGGTGGTAAGTGTTTGGGAGGGAGCGGAATTGGGAGCGGGGGAAGGGGCAGCAATGTGACCTGCTGTAGTAGCTGGTACACAGTATGGCTCTATAAATACGCGTGTAGTGCAACCACCAGCATCTAGAGAGGCCTTTTCAGCGGCCAGATACTACACCTGCGGAGAAAGGCAGGTTCCAATGTCCATGTTGAGCTGTTTACTGGTTGATTTTTTGTGTGTGTCATGCTGAGGAGTCGCTGCTTCATGAGTCTTTTGTGGCTGTCCCTGGACGAGGTGCAAGATACATAATATGTTTTGCATACCCTGGTGTTTCTGTCTGGTGCTCCGTAATCCTCTCCCTGCTCAATGGTGGGTTGCTCCTCCTGGCTTTCCTTACCACTGGCTGATAAGTGCTGACCGGCTAGCACATGCTGCATGTTAACGGGTTAACCCCGCCTTTTACATGAGTGTTTCCATGAATGGGCCGCTTGGGTTGCAGATGGAAGATGGCGTCAGGCAGCTCCAGGTGGCAGAGATGACACAGAAGCGTGGGTGCATGTTTATGTGCATCATCACACTCATCCACCTCATAGTGCTCATGCTGATAATCATAGTTATCCGCCACACATAACTCCAGGCCAGGCCGCTGCATTGCTTTACATCCTCATACAAACCTCATAAAGGACCTGATCTGACAGACGGAACGAACTGTTTGTTCAGTTTGTGTGGTGGGCTCGTGGGAAGGGGCTGACCACATAAGACACAAACAGACAAGTTGGGTGTCGGCTTCCTCAAAGCCCGAAAAAGGGTGGGCCCCCCCTGCATGTGACAATTAATGGGTAGTGTCACCACGGTGGGAGATGTGCTTTGTTGCAGCAGTGCCGATAGTGTGGGATAAGCTTGCACCGGTGGAATTGTCAGCACCACCTGCAGGCTCCATGTGAATCACATCCATCCCGGGTGCATGCCGCATGGACAGTGCGGCAGACCGCAAGTCAGAATGCCCGTGCTGGCAAATTGGTAACACAAGCTGGGTGAAGTTCGGTGCTGTCAACACTCTGGGAAAGGTTTCACCCGTAAATTCATGTTTACCCGTAATCACGTGGTCTTCACATGTAATTACCGGCCAAGAAAATTTGTAAACATGCTTATTTTTAAGTTGCCAAAGCATTCCTTTTATAAGGAAGAACATAGGTGACATTCAGTGTATTTTTTTTCCGTAATATATTACGGTTCCGTAATAAAATGGCATATTTGCGTTCTGCGCTCCGTCATAGACCATGGTAAAGGCCTGGTATGGTCGTTACGGAGCCGGGGCGGGCCCCAGAAGACGTCTCTGGGGGCCGAAGGCCCCCAGAGACGTTCTATTTTAGTATAAATAAGTTATAAATGAGCGATGGGGCCCAAGAAATTAACTACTATAGCTGGTCAGGGTAGCGTCAAAGCATTCCTGACCACCGGCAGGCCAAAACCACTCGGGGAATGACTTGGTCATGGACGGGTTTTCCAGTCATGGATTCGGTCATGTATGTGGTCATGGATCCGGTCATAGTTTGTCATTAAGTCATGGATTTGGTCATGTATGTGGTCATGGATCCGGTCATAATTTGTCATTAAGTCATGGATCCGGTCATGGATCAGTTCATAGTTTGCATAAGCAAGTGCAGGATATGGCTGGTTGGGGTCATGAAATGCGTGGTCATGATGGGATTTATGATTGGATTTATGACAGGTCATGGGACCGCAATATGACCGTATTCAGTCATGGCTGCACTTTATGACCCCATGAGGTCATAAAGGTGGTCATGTACCTGCTCATAAATATGCGGAACATGACCAGGTCATATTGCGCATGGTATTCCATGATGGAACAATGCATTCCATGACCACCCTGGCCCATGTTTTGCACTCATTCCATGAGTCGTACACTGCATTCCATGACCACCCTGGCCCATGTTTTGCTTGGTTTACATGACTCGTACACTGCATTCCATGACCACATTGGCACATGTTTTACATTGTTTACACGAGTCATACACTGCACTCCATGACCACCCCTGGCCCATGTTTTGCACACATCCCAGAAGTTGTTCACTGTGGGCTTATAAGTCATGACCAGCAACCCATCAATATGTGGGCTCCAGACTCCAAGTCTGCTATCACAAATAAATGTATGTACTCCAACACTCCACACCGTTAAGGTGACAAACCTCAATGTTTCAGTGGATCACTCAGGTAAATCACCCACCAGTAGCATCCA